TCCGACCACAGGATTATACAAAACTGACTATTAAAGAAAACAATTTATTCCTTAAGGGTGGATGCAATCAAAACTAGTCACAATTTAACTTTTATACTAGAATTTACCCAATATAAGGCTCAAGAGACTCTCGTTAGAAGGGAGAGTTTACACAATATAAGGCTCAAGAGACTTTCGTAAGGAAGAAGAGTTTACACAATATAAGGCTCAAGAGACTCTCGTTAGAAGGAAGAGATTGCTCAATATAAGGCTCAAGAGACTCTCGTAAAATGGGAGAGTTTGCCAAATATAATGCTCTAGAGACTCTCGCTAGAAGAGAGTGTTTGCTCAATATAAGGCTCTAGAGACTCTCGCTAGAAGTGAGAGTTTGCCCAATATAAGGCTTAAGAGACTCTCGTTAGGGTGGAGAGTTAGAAGGGGGAGTTTTCCAATATAATGCTCAAGAGACTCACGCCAGGAAGGAGCGTTTACACAATATAAGGCTCAAGAGACTCTCGCTAGAAAGGAGTGTTTAGCCAATATAAGTCTCAAGAGACTCTCATACGAAAGGTGAGTTTACACAATATAAAGCTCAAGAGACTCTTGCAAGGAGGGAGTGTTTGCCCAATACAAGGCTCAAGAGACTCTCGCTAGAAGGGAGAGATTACCCAATGTAAGGCTCAAGTGACTCTCGTTATAAGGGAGAGTTTGCCCAATATAATGCTCAAGAGACTCTCGTTAGAAAAGAGAGTTTACACAATATAAGGCTGAATAGACTCTCGTACGAAAGGAGTGTTTGCCCAATATAAGTCTCCAGCGATTCTCGTTAAAAAGGAAGATTCTTAGGATAGAAGATGATTGACCCCATACATAAAGAGGTTAAGCTTGTATTGCATCCAGGAAGTAGTCCGTTTCATCAATTTGCAGTTCATGATAAAATATGTTGTGTGATTGCTATATTCTTCTTACCTTTGAAATATGGTGTAAATTGGGCTATTTCAACTCCGTGGAAGTGGCATAGTATGTCATAGCTGTAAAGGCCTGAACTGTTGGAATTAAATACTGGAGTGCTCATCTGAAAATTCGCCATGGAAATAACAATAGAATAGGTTGCAATCTTTGCGTCTGGGGGAAAATGCTGCAGAGTAGAATGTTTTCTCATTTTCAATCATTTTCCTATCAGCGTAACATAGCTTTCCTCTGCCTTTTTTATACATAGACGCAGGCCTTAAGCGCAGTACTGGATTGGCAATTAGGTCTTCTACTTTACTGTTGATATAGCTAAATGTAACCTTAATTTCTATTCTAATTGTTATTTATTTCGCACTCCTCGGCTATCGGACTCTTTTTATTTCTTGCTTACCCGCCCGCCATTCTCAAAAATTTAAATGCCATCTCAATTGTCTTTTTGATTGATTGATTTCTTTTTTACACAGCTTACCAAATGTTTACAAGTTATTTAAAGCCCAGAAATATTTTTAGATTATACAAACTTTTTTTCGGGTGGTTGGTGAGATAATAATGGATTAATGATACTAGTTTTACTAATTAACCCATAGATGGAGAGAAGAGGTAGCTTTGTACCTTTTCCCGAAGTTATTTGCGAGTCAATGAATATAACGAAACCAACCGGAATTGGAACTCAGCTCTCCGATTAACAATTCCGAACAGTTATCTTGTACACCACACACTCATTGAAGCTTACAGCACGTGGTATTCCCAAGCGGTCACCCTTATTGGTACTGACCAGTCTCCACATTGATTAACTTTGGTGACTCTATACTGTTGTGGTACGATCCACCTAATTTACATAGTGGAGTACCGACCATATAAATATGGTTGGTACCGGGAAGACGGGGGAGGAAGAAGAGATCCAATCCAGAGACTCTGCCCGACTGCGACTAAGTCAACCCATTATACAGGAACGGTCTTCCCAAGAATATACCAAACTATCTGTAAATATTGTGTACACGTTCTTGTGTCAATACATTTTGTTTAAGTACATTTTGTGTTGTATTATTATTATTCCATGCTTTATTCAAGTTTTAACATATACCATGCGATTTTTTTTTAATCCTGTTCGTTTATTTTCATTTCTACACAATTAGTTTTTCTCCGATTTTTTTCTACTCACTAACCCCCTTAAGTCTTAGTGGTTTTATCGCCTTCCTTAAGATGAAATGGTTAAAAATAATAAAAAATGAAACTGGAAATGAGGATTAAGCAGCTCCAATACGGATATTTGATGTATCAATTCAACCCATGCAAGGCGATAATGCCACTAAGACGCAAGGTATAAGACTTTAAAAGGAACGGTAATGCCCGGTCCCAAAGATGAAATAATGGATAAACCTATACTCCATGAAAGGTGTTTCCTGGGGCGATGGAGAGTGTATCGAGCATTTTACCAGAATCTTTAGAAATGGATTGTCCTTTGAAAGAATGCTTTTCTCATGGCCTTCAATCACTTCTTAACAGTTTTACAAAATATCTTTGAGAGGATTACAAATAAAGAAGTGGAACTAATCAGGCGACTGCGTTATTGTAAACAGCAGGAAAGTGTTAGCATATTGCGAAAACTTGCAGATCACAAGGTGAATGGCGCAAAGGAGAAATACAAAAAAATCTTAGGACCCTACATGGGAGTATAAGTTATGAAGGCCGGCGTTGTACCCAGATTAACTGGCCGTGTTGCAATACACGAAAATACGATATGACAGGATTAAGTTTCCTTCGGTTCATGGCAGTTCAGGTTTCAACAAGAATACTGAGGAAAGTGTTCAGAAAATAAAGAAACTACCTGTCACATGATGTGCAGTATAACATTTGGCAACAACAAAAACAACAACATCACCACCACCAATAATAATAATAATAATAATAATAATAATAATATTGATAGTAATAATACATTGGAAAAAGTTTCCGATAGAAACATTGAAGGATTTCTGTAGGCCCAAGCCTTAAAGAAATATAACAATTGTATTCACAAGTACAGCTCAAACATTACGAAACTTTATGTAAAATTTGTTTGATCTTTTTTTTTTTTTTTTAAATCAAAACTGATTATTGAAAAATGTCATGAAGCCATTTCTGAAGTTAGTTCTCTGGTTGGGACCCGGAAGAAAATGTTTATGCAACAGAAATCAAAAGAAATAATAATAATAATAATAATAATAATAATAATAATAATAATAATAATAATGAAATATAGCAGGAGTAAGCCTGGCCCCTAATCGTGATGGCCCACCACTGTAAGGATATGCTCTGGTGCCCACAAATCAGCCTCAAGTATAGGGAAATACGAACCAGCTATAATGCAGGCACAACGAAAAATATTGCTAAATCACATCGGTCGTCATTTGGGTCAACAGGGACCACGATCACCACTGTGGAACCAGACTGGGATCGAAACAATTGCAAAGGTACAAAACTCTATCCAACAAAACCTAGAGGAAAACCACGCTGATAACAGACCTCATAGAGGCCAACTATATTCATTAAAAGAAAATTTACAAAGGAGGAAATGTTTATTCAACAGAATCCCTTGGAAATAATAATAATAATAATAATAATACGGTTACGGAAATAGGATCTGTTACAATTCTATGGGACTACACAATACACACTGACAGAACAATCAAAGCCAACCGCCCAGATATTGTTATTAAAGACCACAAACAAAAACGGTGCCTCCTTATTGATATGGCAGTCCCTGCTGACTGCAATGTATATTTGAAGATATTCAAAAAGTTGTCAAAGTACAAGGACCTTGAAATAGAAATCTCGAAAATGTGGCATATGGGAACATCAACAATCCCTGTTGTAGTTGGAGCCCTAGGACTGGTTGGAAAAGATTGCAGTAGACTAATTGAAGGGATTCCTGGAAGTCCATGCCTCAAGGAGATACAAAAAGCCCACACCTTACGAAGGGCTTTATCGATGTAATTTTTTTTTTTTTTTTTTTTGTCAGTGGAACGTGTCATGATGCCATTTCTAACCTTAGGTCCCTGGGCGGGACCCGGAAAGAAATGTGTAAACGCCAGAAATCAAAGAAAATAATAATAATAATAATAATAAAAATAATAATGGGCCAATATCTGCATTTGAAAATCTGCAGCTTTTACGGAAAGGAAAGTGAATTGGTATGAACCCCAGCCAAACCTGATTACAGAGATAGGACCTGTAAGAATTTTATATGATTTTACAATACAGAGAGAACAATCAAAGCTAATCGCCCTGAGAATTTGGTTAGAGACCGCAAAGACAAAATGTGCTTTTCTTATGGACATGGCAGTCACTGCAGGCTGTAAAACCTTTAAAAAATATCAAAATCCAAAAATCTTAAAGTTAAAATCTTCAAAATATGGCACATGAGGACATCAAATCCAGTTGTAGCTGAAGGCCTCGAAATGATTGGAAAAGATTCCAATAGACTCTTTGAAGGGATTCCTGTAACCTAAGCCTTAAAGAAATACAAAGAAATTGTACTCACAAGTGCAGCCCACACTATACGAAGGGCTTTATCTATGTAAGACGTGTGTGATCTTTGTTGTGTTTTTTTTTTCCACAAAAATGCTCGGTGGAAAATGTCATGATGCCATTTTTGACCTTAGGTCATTGTTTACGACCAGACAGAAATGCCTATACAACAGAAATAAAAGGAAATAATAATAATAATAGTAATAATAATAATAAAGAGGTGAATATAATAATAATAAAATAGATAATGAAATGATGTTTATATATTTTTAATTTTCAGCCGAATCAAAAGGTAAAAAAAAAAGATTCTTGAAGGCATTGACAACACTTTATAAATTCTATTTCTCTAAACAAAGCAGAGGAAGTTAAGTCAGCTTGCAAAGTGGGGAGCGGCTATCGAATTTGGGAGTAGGTGGGGAAAAATAGAAAAGATAGAAAAACAGAGAAAAAGAGAGAGAGATTGAAAGAGAAAGAGGGAAATGAAATTGATAACAGAATCAGAGAGATAGAGAGATAGAGAGAGAAAGAAATACGATAAATTAACGAAAGTAGAAAATAAAGAAAGAAAAGAAAACGATATAATAAAGAAAAGTTATAAGAAAACAAACTAGAAGAAAGAAAAAAATGAAAGAAAGAAAGAAAGAAAGTAAAAAGGAAAGAAAGAAAGAAAGAAGATGAAAAAAAGAAAGAAAGAAAGAATATGAAAGAAAGATAGAAAGAAGATAAAAGAAAGAAAGAAAATGAAAGAAAGAAAGAAAGAAAGATAAAGTTAAGGGAAAGTAAGAAAGGTAAAAAAAAAGAAAGAAAAGGCTATAAGAAAGAAACACTATAAAAAGAGAGAAATAATGTAAAGAGAAAGAAAAAGAAAGTAAAAAGGAAAAAGATATAACAAAGAAAGAAAGAAAGAGAGAGAGAGAATTAAATTGTTATTAAGTAAAAGAAAGAAAAAAAGAAAAAGCCACAAGAAAGAAAAAGTGTACAAATGAAACAAAAACTATACGATAGACGAAAAGAAAGAAAGAAAGAAAGAAAGAAAAGAAAAGAAAAGAAAAGAATAATAAGAAAGAAAAACATGAAGGATAGAAAAAGTAAGTAAGAAAAAAGACATGACATTCTATAAGAAAGAATGAAAGAAAGTAAGAAAAGAGAAAGAAAGGAAGTAAGAAAAGGCTACAAAAAGAAAGAAAGAAAGAATGAAAGTAAAGAGTAAATAAAGACGAAAGAAAAACGAAACGAGAAAGTAAGAAAGAAAAAGAAAGAAAGAAAAAGAAAAAAAGAAAGAAAGAATAAAAAGAAAGTAAATGGTGTTTCTTTATAAAAGCAATGAGACAAAAAAGAGATTATGAAGTGAATGGCAACGCTATTGTGTCCAGAAAAAGAGTGAGACTTAAAACCGGGAGAGATGGACAAAATGAAAGATGGCGACATTGATAAAATAAAATGGAGACTAGCGAGAAAAAGATATATATATATATATATATATATATATATATATATATATATATATATATATATATGTGTGTGTGTGTGTGTGTGTGTGTGTGTGTGTGTGTGTGTGTGTGTATAAATATCATTAAGTGTAAAGGGATTGAAAGAGGAACTGAAAGAGGGCGGTATAAAAAAAAAGAAAGAGAGAGAGATAGATAGAGAGAGGGTGAGAGAAAGATAGAGAGATCGAAAGAAAGATAAAGAAGACAAGACAAAGATAAAGAAGACAATAGAAAGACAGAGAGTGCGAGTTAAATATAGAAAAGACGAAAGAAAGATAGCGAGGGCTGGAGAAAGATAGAAATGGTGAAAGAAAGATAGACAGGGTGAGAGATAAATAGTGAGGGTGAGAGAAAGATAGCGAGGGCAAGAGTAAGATAGAGAGAACATGAGAAATAAAGTGTGAGAGAAAGATAGCGAGGGCGAGAAAAAGAGAGGAGGAGAGTAAGATAAAGAGGGCGAGGGTAAGATAGAGAAGACGAGAGAAAGTTAGAGAGGGTGAGAGAAAATTAGAAATATGGCCAGGGCGAGAGTAAGATAGAGATGGTGAGATAAAGAGAGGGTGAGCGAAAGATGGCGAGTGTGAGAGAAAGATAGAGAGGTTGAGAGTAAGATAGAGAAGACGAGAGTGAGAGAAAGATAGAGAGAAATATAGCCGGGGCGAGAGAAAGATAGAGAGGGTGAGAAAAAGATAGGGAGAATGAGAGAAATATCCCGGCATTGATACAATAAAAGAGAGAAGATAAAGCGTCTTCAGAGGAAAAAAAAGAGACGAAGAAAGAGAAAGAGAAAGAGAAAAAAAAAAAGAAAAAAAGAAGAGAAAGAGAACAGGTAATGCATAAACAAAAGAGAAAAAGAGAATGGCTTTTTGCGTCTTTTCGGGGTGACTTTCTCAGCTGATATGAAGTGGAAAGATTACAACAATTCAGTAGTTAGTCTGCCACCAGGAGAAATGGTTCAATTTTTCTGCAGAATCTATGGTAGATATTCATAAATCTACCATACTTCTATGCTTAGAACATTGCTTTCCATGTGTTTTAATGCTCTTGATATATATTTAGAGGTACTTGATAAAATCCAAAGGACGATCCGCGATGGTTATTCGACTTCATTAACTTACCAACAACCGTAACGTAGTTACCCTCTGCCTTTTTGATAAATATTTTTATAGTACTTTTTCTGATAAACTTTCCTCACTGGAAATTAGTCTTCCTAGATTGGCGGTAAAAGTCTCATCATTTTACAGATGAAATGGCGAGATTGAACCGTAAGTTCTATGCGAACAGTTTCTTTCTCTCTCGGGAAACTCTCTTCCGGCTTCTTCTTTCCCAGTCAACATTGATCTTCTATTAGATTGGCGTCAAGGTCTCATCATTTTACAGTTGAAATGGTGAGATGGAACCGTAAGTTCTATGCGAACAGTTTCTTTCTCTCTCAGGAAACTCTCTTCCGGCTTCTTCTTTCCCAGTCAACATTGATCTTCTATTAGATTGGCGGCAAGGTCTCATCATTTTACAGTTGAAATGGTGAGATGGAACCGTAAGTTCTATGCGAACAGTTTCTTTCTCGCTTATGGAACTCTCTTCCGGCTTCATCCTTCCCAGTCAACTTTGATCTTCTATTAGATTGGCGTCAAGGTCTCATCATTTTACAGTTGAAATGGCGAGATGGAACCGTAAGTTCTATGCTAACAGTTTCTTTCTCTCTTATGGAACTCTCTTCCGGCTTCTTCTTTCCCAGTCAACTTTTGATCTTCTATTAGATTGGCGTCAAGGTCTCATCATTTTACAGTTGAAATGGCGAGATGGAACCGAAAGTTTCTTTTCTGCAGGAAACTCTCTTCCAGCTTCTTCTTTCCCAGTCAACATTGATCTTCTATTAGATTGGCGGTAAAGTCTTCCATCATTTTACAGACGAAATGGCGAGATTGAACCGTAAGTTCTATGCGAACAGTTTCTTTCTCTCGGGAAACTCTCTTCCGGCTTCCTTCCCAGTCAACTTTGATCTTCTATTAGATTGGCGTCAAGGTCTCATCATTTTACAGTTGAAATGGTGAGATGGGTAACCGAAAGTTTCTTTCTCGGGAAACTCTCTAGTTTCTTCTTTCCCAGTCAACATGGAAGATTGGCGGCAAGGTCTTCCGGGTTCGTAAGTTCTTCCAGTTTCTTTCTCTCTCGGAAACTCTTTGATCATTTCTTCTATTAGATTGGCGTCAAGGTCTCATCATTTTACAGTTGAAATGGTGAGATGGCACGTAAGATGCGAACAGTTTTCTTTCTCGGGAAACTCTCTTCCGGTTCTATGATCTTCTATTAACAGTCAAGGTCTCATCATTTTACAGTTTTGAGATGGAACCGTAAGTTCTATGGAAAGTTTCTTTTCCTCGGGCTTCTTCCTTCCCTGTCAACTTTTGATCTTCTATTAGATTGGCGTCAAGGTCTCATCATTTTACAGTTGAAATGGCGAGATGGAACCGTAAGTTCTATGCTAACAGTTTCTTTCTCTCTTGTGGAACTCTCTTCCTGCTTCTTCCTTCCCTGTGAACTTTGATCTTCTATTAGATTGGCGTCAAGGTCTCATCATTTTACAGTTGAAATGGTGAGATGGAACCGTAAGTTCTATGCGAACAGTTTCTTTCTCTCTCGGGAAACTCTCTTCCGGCTTCTTCTTTCCCAGTCAACATTGATCTTCTATTAGATTGGCGGCAAGGTCTCATCATTTTACAGTTGAAATGGTGAGATGGAACCGTAAGTTCTATGCGAACAGTTTCTTTCTCTCTCGGGAAACTCTCTTCCGGCTTCTTCTTTCCCAGTCAACATTGATCTTCTATTAGATTGGCGTCAAGGTCTCATCATTTTACAGTTGAAATGGTGAGATGGAACCGTAAGTTCTATGCTAACAGTTTTCTTTCTCTCTGGAAACTCTCTTCCGGCTTCTTCTTTCCCAGTCAACATTGATCTTCTATTAGATTGGCGTCTAGATTGGCGGCAAGGTCTCATCATTTTACAGTTGAAATGGTGAGATGGAACCGTAAGTTCTATGCTAACAGTTTCTTTCTCGCTTATGGAACTCTCTTCCGGCTTCTTCCTTCCCAGTCAACATTGATCTTCTATTAGATTGGCGGCAAGGTCTCATCATTTTACAGTTGAGATGGAAATGGTGAGATGGAACCGTAAGTTCTATGATCTTCTAAGATTGGCGTTTCATCATTTTACAGTTTTCTCCGTAAGTTCTATGTGGAACTCTCTTCCGGCTTCTTCCTTCCCAGTCAACTTTGATCTTCTATTAGATTGGCGTCAAGGTCTCATCATTTTACAGTTGAAATGGCGAGATGGAACCGTAAGTTCTATGCTAACAGTTTCTTTCTCTCTTGTGGAACTCTCTTCCTGCTTCTTCCTTCCCTGTGAACTTTGATCTTCTATTAGATTGGCGGCAAGGTCTCATCATTTTACAGTTGAAATGGCGAGATGGAACCGTAAGTTCTATGGAACAGTTTCTTTCTCTCTCGGGAAACTCTCTTCCGGCTTCTTCTTTCCCAGTCAACTTTTGATCTTCTATTAGATTGGCGTCAAGGTTTCATTTTACAGTTGAAATGGTGAGATGGAACCGTAAGTTCTATGGAACTTTCTCTCCGGAACTCTCTCTTCCGGCTTCTTCTTTCCCAGTCAACATTGATCTTCTATTAGATTGGCGGCAAGGTCTCATCATTTTACAGTTGAAATGGTGAGATGGAACCGTAAGTTCTATGCTAACAGTTTCTTTCTCGCTTATGGAACTCTCTTCCGGCTTCTTCTTTCCCAGTCAACATTGATCTTCTATTAGATTGGCGGCAAGGTCTCATCATTTTACAGTTGAAATGGTGAGATGGAACCGTAAGTTCTATGCTAACAGTTTTTTTTCTCTCCTTGTGGAACTCTCTTCCTGCTTCTTCCTTCCCTGTGAACTTTGATCTTCTATTAGATTGGCGTCAAGGTCTCATCATTTTACAGTTGAAATGGCGAGATGGAACCGTAAGTTCTTCTATCCCTAACTGTTTCGTTTCATCATTTTCTTGAAATGGCGAGATGGGAACTCTCTTCTCTTGTGGAACTCTCTTCTTCTTCCTTCCCAGTCAACTTTGATCTTCTATTAGATTGGCGTCAAGGCCTCATCATTTTACAGTTGAAATGGCGAAATGTACTCGTAAGTTCTATGCTAAGAGTTTCTTCTCGCGCACTACTCACTTTTGGAACTCTCTTGCGGCTTCTTGTTGCCCAGTCAATGTTGATCTTCCCAAATTTATATTCAATGTCAATATGTTAATAAAATCGAACAAAACGAGAAAAGGTTTTCTGTTTTTGTTTTTAAAAGAAAACTAGAGAAAGGATTGGGGCCACGATGGATATTTGACGAAACGGGAAATACTTATAGACGGAGTTGAGTATGAATGTTTTAAGAATAGAGAAACTCATTGTTAGAGAGAAAGATGATTGTTTTTTAGACAAAAGTTAGAAAGAGACAGATATATATATATATATATATATATATATATATATATATAAATATATAATATATATATATATATATATATATTTAAGAAATAAAGACAATTTATTTATTAAAGACATTTAATGTTTAACGTTCTTTTTTATAGATACAAGTATTTAAGTAAATGCTCTGTTTATAATAAACAGTATTAAATAACATTTACCGGCCTGAATGCCCGAGAAATTTTCATAGGTTACGTATAGGATGCAGGTTCGAATCCTGTTGAAGCACAAATATTTTTCTATGAAAATTTCTCAGGTATTCAGGCCGGTAAATGTTATTTAATACTGTTTATTATAAACAGAGCATTTACTTAAATACTTGTATCTACGAAAAAGAACGTTAAACAGAAAAATGTCTTTAATAAATATATATATATATCATAATTATTTTTTAAAAAATATGATTTCTTCGCTACATAACAGTTCTTATGTTTCAAAAACGAGAGCCGAAACCCTCATAAAATAAAAAAAAAAAAATTATAATTTAAGCTCTACTTCTGTATGGAGCACTGTTTTTTAAAAATAAAAACAAAAATACTAGAACTCCGGATTATTTACCTAACCTATTTACCTATTTTCTACATATCTGCACGCACATCTATCTATCTATCTATCTATCTATTTGAATATATATATATATATATATATATATATATATATATATATATATATATATATATATATATATATATATATGTGTGTGTGTGTGTGAAAAGTGTATATAAATATAAATAAATATATATATGTATAATTATTTATATATTATATAGCGGTACTTATTAGAAAGCGCTCAGAAACCCAGATTTTTAAAAATTAATCAGTTTGTCTGACGATCGCTAAAGCGTGAAACCCAGGGTCACAAACTCACATCTATCCAACCAAATATATATATATATATATATATATATATATATATATATATATATATATATATATATATATAGGAAAGATAGGCATAGAGAAAGCGAGAGAAAGTCGTCTGTTTTTAGAAAAGAAACCGAGAAAGAGTGACAACGATAAATAAGCGAGACATAGATGAAGAGAGATAGAGAAAGAGAAAGAGAGAAAGATAGTTTTTAAAAAGAGAGAGAGAGAGAGAGAGAGAGATAAAGAGAAAATTATTACTGTTTTTAAAAATGATAGCGACGAAGAGAAAGAACATAGAACATTGTTGCTTTTACAGAAGAGAGATGTGGAGAGAAAGATTACTGTATGTAGAATATGCGTCGAGGACAGAGAGATAGCAGGATATCTCTCACTTCTCCCTTCTTCTTAAAAGAGAGAAGAGAGAGAAATACAAAGAGACAGATTGACATACAACGGAGGTTGAAGAAGAGGTGAAAAAAAACAATCACAGTCGTATGGAAAAGAGAGTGGACAAGAGAGAGAGAGAGAGAGACAGATAAGCGTTAAGAAAATAGGACAGAGAGAGAGAGAGAGTACGAAAATGTGATAGAATGAAAGAGAGAACGTGAAAGAGAGAAAAAGAAAGAGAGAATAAAGTTTTCTTAAGAAAAGAGAGAAAATCTGTGCGTTAGAGAGAAGAAGAAAAGATTACTGTATTAAAGGGAGAGAAAGAGAGAAAAATGAAAAAGGACCTGGGTCTAGAAGGGAAGGAAAGAAAGAATAGTATTAATATAGAATGAAAGGGAGAAAGGGAAATACGTTTAGGTTAACAAAACAATTCATGACTTTAAGAAAGAAAGAAAGAAAGAAAGAAAGAAAGAAAGAAAGAAAGAAAGAAGGGAGAGAGAGAGAACGTGATAGAAAAGAGAGAAATAATAGAAATGAGAGAAATACGTTAAGGTTAACAAAAGAATCCATGACTGTGAGAAGAAGAAAGAAAAGAAAGAAAGAAAGAAAAGAAAGAAAGAAAGAAAGAAAGAAAGAAAGAAAGAGAGAAGAATGGATAGAAGAGAGAAGTAATAGAAAGAAGAGAAATACGCTAAGGTTAACAAAAGAATCCATGACTGTGAGAAGAAAGAAAGAAAGAAAGAAAGAAAGAAAGAAAGAAAGAAAGAAAGAAAGAGAGAACGTGATAGAGAAGAGAGAAGTAATAGAAAGAAGAGAAATACGCTAAGGTTAACAAAAGAATCCATGACTGTGAGAAGAAAGAAAGAAAGAAAGAAAGAAAGAAAGAAAGAAAGAAAGAAAGAAAGAAAGAAAAAGTGAGAGAGAGAGAGAACGTGATAGAGAAGAGTGAATCAAGAGAAAGAAGAGAAATACGCTAAGGTTAACAAAAGAATCCATGACTGTGAGAAGAAAGAAAGAAAGAAAGAAAGAAAGAAAGAAAGAAAGAAAGAAAGAAAGAAAGAAAGAGAGAACGTGATAGAGAAGAGAGAAGTAATAGAAAGAAGAGAAATACGCTCAGGTTAACAAAAGAATCCATGACTGTGAGAAGAAAGAAAGAAAGAAAGAAAGAAAGAAAGAAAGAAAGAAAGAAAGAGAGAACGTGATAGAGAAGAGAGAAGTAATAGAAAGAAGAGAAATACGCTAAGGTTAACAAAAGAATCCATGACTGTGAGAAGAAAGAAAGAAAGAAAGAAAGAAAGAAAGAAAGAAAGAAAGAAAGAAAAAGTGAGAGAGAGAGAGAGAGAGAACGTGATAGAGAAGAGTGAATCAAGAGAAAGAAGAGAAATACGCTAAGGTTAACAAAAGAACCAATGAGAAAGAGAGAGAGAGAGAGAGAGAGAGAGAGAGAGAGAGAGAGAGAAGTTAAGAGAGAAGAAATAGAAAGAAAAGAGCAGTTTGGAAAAGAGATAACGTACTTTTGCTGGAGGAGGAAAGAACAGATTTCTAGTTGTATCCTTTTTTTGTGTTTCACGAATGAAACTATTATTGTCTTTTATTCTAGAAAGAAGTGAAAATCGAGTCGTTGTAAACTGTCAAGACTGTGTCAGAAAGATCGATACGAATTATTAATTTTTAAAAAGCTGTTAGAATGGGGAGGTGCGAAGAGGCTGGTAAAGCGGAATTTGATTTCAGTCGACGGTTCGAAAAGGTCGGCCATATTGGGTTACAGCGCAAGCACTCGTATAACACCTCGGCCATTGCGTAAAAGTAGAATACACTTGTCTTATAAAGAACCAGGCCAAGCACGCACACACACACATACACACCAAGAAAGAAAGAAAGAAAGAAAGAAAGAAAGAAAAAGAAGATGAATGAATTTCTGCATCATTAATGTATTTATTGTTACATTGACAACGTTCACTGTTGATAACTATGATCGCAGTGTTTTCGGGGTCTCTTTCGATAACTAAAAGAAAGTCCCCAATACTCTGCATAAAGTATATAAACACCACTCATTTTACATATATATATATATATATATATATATATATACACACATATATATATATATATATATATATATATACATATATATACATATATATATATATATATATATTATAAATTAATTGATTTAAAATATGGTTATTTTCGCTACACAGTTCCAACCATGTTTCAAAAATAGAAGCTAAAAACCCCTAATTTTATTTTTGCAAATAAATTAAAAGCATTAGTTCTATTTCATCTTCAAGCGAATTTTGGAGTAACTTTTAAAATTTACCGGGTTTTAAATACACAGCTAAAATCACGTTTCCATGGTTACAGAATATTCTACTCAAATTGAACACGGGGTGTCTAGATTTTCCTTATGACAGTATCATCGTATCAGTTATTAGCTACATTTTGGTAAGGGGTGAGGATGTATTTTACACTGAAACCTGACGTCGGTTGAATGGATGTCGTCTGAATTTTAAAAAATGGTAAAGAACAGATTAGGACATAAATTCCTCACATTAATAGTCAAGCATTTCCCTTGTGAAAATAAACTAAGTACTATTTTCAATAAAAACACACTAAAATTAAGTTATAGCTGTACAAAGAACTTAGAAAAAAATCATTAAGAACCATAATGCTAATATCTTAAATAAACACTTATACCAAAACCAAAAAATTTAGACAATAGAAAAATTAAGATAAAAACTGATGTAAATAAACAAAACTATGTAATTGTCGAAACCCTCAAAATTGCCCACTACAAAATAAATGTTGCACTGAATCATTAGTATACCAATGCAATATCTCTTCGATTGAAAATCCTGATAACATAAAAATATATATAGGTTGCACTAGCCATGAATTCAAAAAAGATTCAACCAACATCAAACTTCATTTAGAATAAATAAATATAAAAATCAAACATCTCTCTCAAAATATTTCTGGCATCTAAAAGAATCAAATAAAACACCTACAGTAAAATGGAAGTTAATAAGAAGAGCTAGAATTTGTAGATCATTAAACGACCCGTGTCCTCTATGTATACAAGAGAAACTATATATTACTAAGTTTATAAAAAATAAAATTTACTGAATCAGAGAAATGAAATAGCTATTATATGCCGTCATTGTCAAAAAATTTTCCTTAAATAATATATAAAAAAAAAAAAAAAAAAAAAAAAAAAGTCTATTGAATGGCAGGAAAAATGTTTTAAACTGTTATTTAAAATTGTGGTTAAAACGTATTAAAACATAAACACCGTTTAAAAAATTGTAGTTAAATAAAATGTATCCTAACCGAAACACCTCTATAATAAATGTACTACAAACACTTGAATGAATCCGATAAAACACCTCCTGAAAAAAATGAAATTATAACTAAAAGCTAGATGATGTAAGGTAATGTATGACCCATTGTTCTTTGTACATACATATGAAACTTTATTACTCAGGTTACATATATTTAAAATAAATAATTTAATTAATTAATACATAAAGTTTACTAAATCTGAGAAATGACTTAGATAGTTTTGTAGTCTGTGCCATTTATATTACTTAAATATTTAAATATAATAGTTTAAAATTGTAATTTACATATACTTTGTTATGGAAAATAATTATACTTACTATGAGTAATTATCCTTCTGTTATAAAGTAATATAGTCAATTAAAACTAACCATGAAAATATTTTAAAATTTTAATGTGGTAATTTTAAAATTGTAATTAAAATTGTAGTTAAATAAAATGATTTCTAACCTGTTCTTGGTACATACATATGAAACTTTACTACTTAGGTTACATATATTTAAAATAAATAAATAAATTAAGTAATAAATAAAGTTTACTAAATCCGAGAAATGACTTGGCTAATTTTGTAGTAAGTTCCATTAATATTACTAAAATAATATTTTAAAATATAAAGGTTTAAAATTGTAATTTACATATACTTGGATATTGAAAAATAATTTTACTTACTATGAGTAATATTCCTTCTGTTATAAAGTAATATAGTCTAATATAACTAACAATGAAAATATTTCAAAAGTTTAAAGTTTGTAATTTTAAAATTGAAACTAAAATTAAAGTTAAATTGAATGAATTCTAACCTAAGTTTCTTTTTAAATAATACTACACACTAAAAAAGAATCCCAAAAAAGCAAATATAGTAAAATAAAATTAATATGAAATGCCATAAGATGTAAGCTTTTGAATGACCCATGTCCTTTGTACTTACATGAGAAACATTATATCACTAGGTTTATATATATAAAAAAAAAAAAAAAAAAAAAAAAAAATGTAACCTCATATACATACTTAAACTTGAATTAATACATAAAGTTTACTAATTCTGAGAAATGACTTAGATAGTTTTGTAGTCTGGGCCATTAATATTACTTAAATAATATCTAAATTAAAAGTTTAAAATTGTAATTTACATATACTTTGATAGAAAAAAAAAATTTTTACTTACTATGAGTAATTATCCTTCTGTTATAAAGTAATATAGTCTAAATTAAAACTAACAATGAAAATATTTTAAAATTTTAAAGTTATAATTTTAAAATTTTAAAATTGAAATTAAAATTGTAGTAAAATAAAATGAATTCTAACATGTTATTTATACATACATATGAAACTTTATTAATTAGGTTACATATATTTGAAATAAATAAATTAATTAATTAATAAATAAATAAAGTTTACTAAATCTGAGAAATGACTTAGCTAGTTTTGTAGTAAGTGCCATTAATATTACTTAAATAATATTTAAATTTAAAGAGAAAAAAAAAAAAAAAAAAAAAAAAAAAAAAAAATTTACATATACTTTGATATGGAAAAATAATCTTACTTAATATGAGTAATTTTCCTTCTGTT